CACATCAACATCTCTATAGCAACACCGTACAACCACAAAGAACGCACTAACATCTGCATAGCAACAGTACAACCATAAGGAACACCCTAACAACTGCATTGCAACAGTACAACAATATGGGACACCCAAACAACTGCATAGCAGCACAGTTACAACCAATCTAACACCTTAATGGCATTGCAATACAGTAGAACCACATGGAACAACCTAACATCTACATAGAAACAGTACAATCACACAGAACACCCTAACAGCTACATAGCAGCGGTTACAACCAAGTCCTCATCAACTGTATAGCAACACAATACAACCACATAGAACACCCTAACATTAGCATAGCAACAGTACAACAATATGAAACACCCTAACAACAGCATAGCAACTGTACAAACAAATGGAACCACAACAACTGGATAGCAACATAGTACACTCACACAGAACACCCTAACATCTGCATAGCAACAGAGTACACTCACACAAAACACCCTATCATCTGCACACCAACACAGCGCACTCACACAGAACACCCTAAAATCTGCAAAGCAACAGTACAACAATATGGAACAACCTAACAGCTGCATAGCAACACAGTACAATCACACAGAACACCTTAACATCTGCATAGCAACACAGTACACTCACACAGAACACCCTAATATCTGCATAGCAACACAGTACACTCACACAGAACACCCTAACATCTGCATAGCAACACAGTACACTCACACAGAACACCCTAACATCTGCAAAGCAAAAGTACAACAATATGGAACACCCTAACAACTGCATAGCAACACAGTTACAACCAATCTAACACATTAACGGCATAGCAACACAGTACACTCACACAGAATACTCTAACAACTGCATAGCAACACAGTACAATCACACAGAACACCCTAACATCTGCATAGCAACACAGTACACTCACACAGAACACCCTAAAATCTACAAAGCAAAAGTACAACAGTATGGAACACCCTAACAACTGCTAAGCAACACAGTTACAACCAATCTAACACCTTAACAGCATAGCAACACAGTATACTCACACAGAACACCCTAATATCTGCATAGCAACACAGCACAATCACACAGAACACCCTAACAGCTGCATAGCAACACAGAACAATCACACAAAACACCCTAACAACTTCATCGCAATAGTACAACAATATGGACACCCTAAAAACTGCTAAGCAACACAGTTACAACCAATCTAACACCTTAACAGCTCAGCAACACAGTGGAACCACATAGAATACCCTAACATCACCATAGCAACACAGTACAATCACAAAGAACACCGTAACAACTGTGTATCAAATTAAAGCCTAAAGTTGATGTTTAAGGATTCAAAATTATATTTTTTTATACATATTTTGGTCATTCTTTAATAGTCTTTTAATATGTCATCAAATAATTCCTGCAATAAATATTCCCTAGTTCACCTAAAAATGAAAATTCTGTCATCATTTACTCACCTTTAACAGTTTCAAAGAGTTTTGTTACTCTTTAAACAGATTAGAAAGCTGAAAACCTGTAACCATTGACTTCTAAAGTAAAAAAAAAAATCATACTATAGAAGTCAATGGTTACAGTTTTTCAGCATTCTTCAAAATATCTTCTTTTATGCTTAAAAGAACACAAACAGTGGGAGAGTACACATTGAAACATTTTACATTTTTTGCATGAACTACCCCTTTAACTTTTATTGATGACTTAGCATTGTGAATTGTTTTGATGCATTAACAACCCACCCACGATCGGCCCACAAGGAAAATCAAGCTATTTACGAACATCACTATGAAGTGCACTTCTCACGGCTATAATAAGATAGTTCACGTCACACGCCTGTTGCAGTTTCCAGACGCTCTGTGCTTTGAGTCTCATGCATGTTGATTTAGTGATCCTGCTGATGGTTTAATGACCCTGTCCTTCCTCTGACCCCTGCTATTGTGTCCTGAAGCTAAACTGTAGGATGTTAAAACATGGACCCCTGTGTCTGGAAACCCCCAGAGCAATCACATATTAGAATAACAGCACATTCAGACTCTAAAAGCTTTACACGAGAGACTGATGCACATGAATAGCAGCACAGACACATAGAGAATAAAGCAATGCACTAAATTAAATGTTATGGACGCACATACTGCTGATGCCAGATCAGATCTTATATCTTTTTCATTCACACATCAGTTAAGAGCGAGAGAATAATGCATATTCTAACTCTCATGTTCGTAGAGCTGCCATTAAAATAATATTGCTCTCTTAGAAGACTAATGATTTAAGCCAGCTCTATATCTGCTCTCCTGACACACACACACACACACACACACACACGCTCTTTCTCACGAGATAAGGTGTAGCGAGTTTCTTCTCCTCTTTTCTGAGCGGCCTGCGGCTACAGTCTCTCTCTCTGTTCTTGTGCTTCATTTTTCTTTACCGTAGTATCTATTACTGTTGTGTCGCCCTCACAGCGTAATTAATCATCATTTTTTATCGCTGTCTCCTCTAATTGGTTCTCATCTGAACTCTGCTGCACCTCACACACACACAAGCAAAAATGTGTGCACACGCATGCAAGCACACACACACACACACTCACATGCTGTACAAGTGCTGCTCTATTCATTTCTATTGTGCTTTCTGACAGACTGAATAATCTTCATGCAAGATGGATTAAACACTGACAGTCTGCGCTGATGCTGGATGACATTCACCAAGTGTATGTAACAGCGACAGGATCCCAGATTATTGAGCTTCCAATACATTAAGATTTAATATATCAACCACACTGAAAAATACAGACAATGTCTATTATTAAATCAGAATGTTAATCAGATATTAAAATACAGTAAATGCTGATACACTCACCGGCCACTTTATTAGGTACACCTTACTAGTACTGGGTTGGACCCCTTTTGCCTTCAGAACTGCCATAATTCTTCGTGGTGTGGATTCAGCAAGGTACTGGGAATGTTCCTCAAAGATTTTGCTCCATATTGTCATGATAGCATCACACAGTTGCTGCAGATTTGTCGGCTGCACATCCATGATGCCAATCTCCCGCTCCACCACATCCCAAAGCTGCTCTATTGGATTGAGTTCTGGGGACTGTGGAGGCCATTTGAGTATAGTGAGCTCATCGTCATGTTCAAGAAAACAGTCTGAGGTGATTCACGCTTTATGACATGGTGTGTTATCCTGCTGGAAGTAGCCATCAGAAGATGGAGACACTGTGCTCATAAAGGGATGGACATGGTCAGCAACAATACTCAGGTAGGCTGTGGCGTTGATGCTCAATTGGTACTAATGGACCCAAAGAAAATCTTCCCCACACCATTACACCACCACCACCAGCCTGAACCGCTGATACAAGGCAGGATGGATCCATGCTTTCATGTTGTGGTCAAATTGTGAGCCGATCATCTGAATGTGTCAGCAGAAATGGAGACTCATCAGAGCAGCAACGTTTCTCCAATCTTCTATTGTCCAGTTTTGGTGAGTCTGTGTGAATTGTAGCCTCAGTTTCCTGTTCTTAGCTGACAGGAGCGGCACCCGGTGTGCTCTTCTGCTGCTGTAGCCCATCCGCCTCAAGGTTGGCCGTGTTGTGTGTTCAGAGATGCTCTTCTGCAGAGCTCGGTTGTAACGAGTGCTTATTTGAGTTACTGTTGCCTTTCTATCATCTGGAGCCAGTCTGGCCATTCTCCTCTGACCTCTGGCATCAACAAGGCATTTGTGCACACAGAACTGCCGCTCACTGGATATTTCCTCTTTGTCGGAGCATTCTCTGTAAACCCTAGAGATGGTTGTGCATGAAAATCCCAGTAGTTCAGCAGTTTCTGAAATACTCAGAGCAGCCCATCTGGCACCAACAACCAAGACACATTCAAACTCACTTAAATCCCCTTTCCTCCCCATTCTGATGCTCGCTTTGAACTGCAGCAGATCGTCTTGACCATGTCTACATGCCTAAATGACAGGTGTGCCTAATAAAGTGGCCGGTGAGTGTATATTATCAGCTCTGGTTGTCCATCTGGTCAAGCTCCAGCGCTTCAGATGACTAGAGGAGCAGCAGGATGATGGAGGAGTGTGTGTTCCTGTGTGGGTCTGTTTCTGACCACTAGGGTGCAAGAAGAGCCTTCACATCCAAACCACAAGAACACAGAGAAACTGAGCGCCAAAGCAAGACAACATGAAGAGCTGATGTCCAAAAACACACCAAATCCAGACAGACATGCTCTGTTTATAAAGCTCAGACGCTGCCAGAGAACTTTCTGCTTCCACTAGCGGACAGCAGGACCAATCCTTCACCATCTGTGCTGCTTCAACTAAACAATAAGACACTGTATGTGTGTGTGTGTGTGTGTGTTTGGACTGAAATACTGTTTTTATCTAACACTCCTCTCGTTAGATCTCATTAGATTAGATCAGTGAGTGTGAGTGTGTGTGTGAGCGTGAGTCTGTGTGTCTGTGTGTGTGTGTGTGTGAGACTCACTGTGGTTTTCTGGCACTGTATGCTGGAGCTGTTGAAGCGCAGTGCCGTCACGCTGTGTGTTTCCCCCTGGATGTGGAACACACACTCGTAGTTCCTCTGTCCGGACTGAGGCTGCGGAAGGTTCCGGGCCGACAGCGTGATCGGCTTGGGGACACCCACCGGGATGTATATCTCTGTGGACGGCAGGATCTGAGGACAGTCCTGTAAAACACAAAGCAAAACCCGATCATGCAAACACATCTGGAAAGAGGAATCATTCTCTTTAAAACAACACAACCCAGGAAGGACGGTCCAGGTATCGCTCACTCTGATGTGTTTGACGTCTGCTTAAACAGGCCTGATGGGGAACATGTGGGGAAAATGTCAAGCAAAGACCTGGAGGAGAAATGAGCTGGACACAGACAATATCTGGAGAACATCCCAGAATACATCACTGCTGCACACGCCAGGAATAAAACATGAGTCTGCAAACCCTGACTGGATGACTGGATGAGTGCACGTCAGGCCTGAGGAGCTATAAGGGATTCTGAGGGAAGTCTGTATTGCTTTTTTCCTCTTTATTTTATTTTATTTTATTTTATTTTATTTTATTTTATTTTATTTATTTTATTTTATTTATATGTTATTATTTTTTAATATTTTTACTTTATTTATTTATTTATTTATTTATATTCATAATTTTTATTTAATTTTTTTTGATTTATTATTTAATTACATTTTATTTATTTTAATTTGTTTTAATTTATTTCATTTAAATTTTTTTAATATTCTATTTTATTTATTGTGGAGGAGGTGTTGGTGCTTTGTGGAATGTATTATGTCTTTGTTTATATTTGTATTATTATTATTATTATTATTATTATTATTGTTATTATTAACCATTTAGTCACTAAAATGTATTGTCAATCTGCTCTCTTGGTTGCCATGAAATTTTTTTATTAATTATTATTATTTAATTTATTATCATTATATATTTATTTTCATTTAATTGAATATTTAATTAAATTTATTACTTAATTTAAATTATTTTAATTAGTTTTAATTATTTATTTATTTATTTATTTATTTATTTTAATTATTTAATTACATATTATTCTACTTTATTTTATGTTATTTATTGTGGAGGAGGTGTTGGTGTTTTGTGGAATGTATTTTGTCCTTGTATATATTATTATTATCTATTTTGTCACTAAAATGTATTTTCAATCTGCTCTCTTGAAGGCTATTTTATATTTTATTATTTCTTTTCTTTTTCTTTTCTCTTATTATTTTTCCATT